ATTACAAGAGGTTGGATTATTAATTTGCTATCAGCCAACTTCAGCTGCGGACAGCGTTTGGAAATTGATGCACTACAGATAAGACTTTCACACACATCAATTTTCACATGACGAAATCCTACAATCTTACATTACTTTGTTTGCTTTTTTTTTTTTTTTTTTACTTTTATGTATTTACATTTTTGGCGATATGTAGCTGTATTAACCTGAATTTAATGTTTTCTATTTTGTATTTAATAAATCCATTGATTTGAAATCCCTTTGACTGCTGTACGTTTTTGACAATATAGACATTAGTTATGTGGTGACCGCATCCATTTCAGATGTATAATACCTGTTTTCCCCAAAGACTTAAGTTATAGTAGCTGAAAAGTATTTAAAGTGAAACAGATGTATTGTTATAGATTAGGGGTGCATCTTGTTCCTGGAGATCTACCTTCCTACAGAGTTCAGTTCCAACCCTGAATAAACAAAACCTGTCTGTAATTATCAAGCGCTTCTTCAGATCCTAATTAGTTGGTTCAGTTGTGTTTGATCAGGACCAGGCTGGGCACCCCTGTTGTAAATTAATAGTGTGGGCTAAGTGAGGGCTGCCCGTGTAGGGCCAGCACTAAGGGGCCAACGTTTTGCCAATGAGCAAAATCTCAGAGGCACTGCACTGGCAGCCCGCTGGGGGCACTTAGGCTAGCCGTAAGTGGGCCCGTAAAGGACCGGTGCAGGCTTGTTTGCAGGGACATGTGAGGATTAGCACCTCTCATTTGACGAGCGGCTCACTGACAGCTTCAAATTTGAGTGCACCGCTCTGGCCACGCCCATGATGAGGCTGCACTCACTGAAACAGACAGCTCTCATTACGAGATTTTGTGTCTCACTCTGCTTCGCTTGCGTTTCTTTCTTCAATGAAGGCGGCCCCGCCCCTCTCCTCGTCAGCTATGAGCAGATCTGAAAGAATGCATGCAGCACCTTTGATCTGCCGGTGTGTTTACATGTAAGGATCAGCTGTACCCCTCATCTAACGAGTGGTTTTATCTTTTTAGGCGGATTTAAAGGGATAGTTCACCCAAAAATGAAAATCATGTAATTAATTATTCACCCTCATGATGTTCCAAACCCGTAATACCTCCGTTCATCTTCGGAACACAAATTAAGATATTTTTGATTGAATCTGAGAGCTCTCTGACCTTCCCATAGACAGCAAGGATCCTTACACAATCAAGGTCCAGAAACATAGCAAGGAGATCGGTAAAATAATCCAT